ATGTATACTATTAGGGTGGCGACCAATGGTGTGTGTGCGGGTACGGTTAAGCTGCAATCTTATGTGCGGGTTTTGGACAACTGGCAGCGTCGTCCATATGGTAAACTATTAGTATATTACTATATTGGGTAATTTATTATATAGAATTAACAACGTGTACGCTCGTCGGTTTCTATAATAGTACAAGAGAATAGAGCTGAGTGTGGCAGAGATGAGAATGCATAGATGGATGACTGGGTGACTAAAGAAGATATGATAAGGAAGTAATTGAATGTGAACGGCTGATGTTAGCGAAGATGATGATCGATGGGACTTAGAAGAATTCTTATACATCATACATAATATTTAGTTAGTACTTTTAACTCAAACATTCAGTGGTATTTTTTAACACGCTTATACTAGTTTCACCTGTATGTATGTTTGTTTGTAACTCTCCACGCGCCACATGTTATTATTCTCGCGTATCCCGTCGTCTATGGCCTTGAGACTAGACTGTCGTAACGCATTTACCCCACCCCGCTCACCTCACGCGTGCAAAACTATTACTGGTATAGTTTTATTTTTAGTTTTCGTACCCGTATATGCGTGTGTATCATCAATATTATACATATAAACAAATTATTGTTTTTTATTAGATATTGTTGACACAAGTGTTCTTTTCTTATAGCAGTTGACCCCTGTTTGTCTTTTACCCAGAAACCTTACTTAACTATAACCTACAAAATATACAACACAGATATATATATATTTATACATTAAACATTTATTGATACAGCTCACGAGATAGGGGGGGGGGTGACAATGTTATGCTGCATTCAATGACCTCTTTGTGGTAGTTCTTATTGTTACTTAGTTTTGATGATCTTGTTATTCTGATAGGCCCGACTCCATCAATCTTTTCGGATCCAGTCCAACTGGAGAATTTACATATATTCTTATCCGATAGTATGACCACCTTGTCATTCAGGAGTACTTGGAGATCTTATATGTACCACGCAATGGAAAAGACAATCCTTTCCAATTCACTTGTTTTCAAAAATAAAAAACCAGGTACATCTCACACTAGAATTGGCCGCACACACTTACAAAAACTTTTGTAACATCCTATCAGCATATTGACGAAGATAACACTTACAGTATGGCCAACGTTTCTCTTTAATGCGCGAACAGATATAAACATGTAAATTTTTTTGAGTTAATATACATGTATAATACATAAGGGATTACGAATACAAGTAGCTAATTGGTTATTTATGACGATATTCGCAGGTATATAACTTTTATTATCAAAGGTAATGAGACACATTGTTGTGAGCTTATAAACACACTAACTGGCAATACAGAAATTATATTTATTGATAGTGACAATAAACATTTCGTGACTGTAACAGCGATGTCATAAAAAACTAAAATGTAAAAAACAAATATAGTTTAAATAATTTTTAAAATAAGCTTAAAACAATAATGAACGAAAAATACTAGTATTATTGTGGAAAAAAGCTTGGGGGCTTTGTGCCATAATTTTCGTATATTGAGCGTGCGACTTTTTTTTTTTACAATAATACTAGTATTTTTCGTTCATTATTGTTTTAAGCTTATTTTAAAAAAAATATTTTTAACTTTTTAGTTCGATACGCTTTAAACACGTGTTTTTCAGTTTTTTAAACTATATTTGAGGCGTATAGTTTTAAAACCAGCTAAAACCATTTTTTGAAAATTTTCAGGAACAACAAAATAAGATAATGAGGTTAAAATTTGACTCAAAGATTTTTTAATATATATGATATTAAAGCTTGGAAGTATAAACGCATTGTGTGTGAATATTTACTTTAACAAACTATTTTTACAAGAGTTATTTAGTTTTATAATTTACATATAGCTGGTTTTGTTGCCAATTTCATCAGATGGCTGGTTTTGAAGTCAACATTTTTTTTTCTATATACATAGCTGGTTTAAAATTGAATATGCGATGTAGGCAGTTTTGAAACAAAATTGAAATAAAAACTAAATATTATATTTTTTACTGCACTCTTTAATCAATATAAAAACTTTACTTTTAAATTTAAATACGTAAAAATATTAATCAGTATTATTATCGTAGCATAAAATATAATCATTATCAACATTTATTTTACCTCGAAAAAAAATATAATTGATTATGGCTTGTTTTGAAATTGACATTGTTAGATGAGTGATTTTGAAACCAACCATATTTTTCCATGATTAATTTAAACCAGTTGTAGCCTGTTTTTAAGTACAATACTTTTACAGGACATTTAGTACAGTGTGACCATTTAGAAAATATAAAAAAAAACGTTTTAAAAAAATTCACTGATATCTGGTTTTGAAACTATACGCCTCATTTATAGATCATGAGTAGTTCAGGTTTATACAATTTTTTTTATTGATCATAGGGACTTTCAAAATAAATTTTTCTTTTTTTTTATAGAGATATTGAAAAAAAATTTAAGTAATTGTGGTTAAGTATAATTACATTTTAGTAGACTACCATGTACATTTTATTGTTGCACTTTAACCTTTTTAAAATTTGTGTTTATTTAAAGGTATGTTGAAAACTACCATTGTTAAATTCGTTAATGATTTTTATTATTTCACAATAAAAAGTAAACTTTTTTCCTTAATATTAAAGTATTCACCAGTTTAATATTTATGATAAATTGTCAAGTTTTTTAATGTAAAACAAATACGCAGCTTTATAATAAGTTCTTTATAATATCAAATGTAATATTATGTTATATTATATTAGCATATGTGATGTTATTATTTATATATGTATGTCACATACTATGAATATACAAGATAACCAATACAGGGTTCCACTGACTATAAAAACCCACTTTTCCTAATAATCCCAGTTTTATGGGGCTTTTTCAAAATACACAAAGTCTGCAAGATTCTTACTCTTTAATACTTGGTAGTTCCTTTTTTAATTCTTTTATATATAATAATACTAAATAACACTTAGAAATTTTAAAGTGTATCTTGTTTTAGTGACTCATTGAATTTAAATTTATTTGTTCATTAAATAATATTTTATTTTCTAGTGAAAGAAATAAATGTCAATTAATAATCTAAACTTAATTTTTTTTTTTTATTAACAAACTTAACCTTACTATAAATACAAATTTTGATGATAAAAATGTATTGTAAGCTTTTCTTACTGATTAATTAGTCTCGGAGATTAATGTCTTCGTTCTAACGAACATCGCGAAGATGGACAGTGCAGAGAAACTTATTGAGATATTTTTAGTGTTAAATTTTTGGCTTGATGATTATTGTGCCGCATCCTTTCAAGGTATCAGCGCCGGGACATATTGGGTCATAACAATACCGCCTTGATAACAGTTTTACATAGATACAAATATTTTAGTCTCGTTTTGGCTAGACCAGAGGAAGCTTTAAAAAATATTGGTTTCTATCTCTCAATAAAAAATTTTCTTAAATAAAAAAAATGCTCAATAAATTATATATTTGTTGAATAAAAATCAAAATAATGGTACATTATTAACATTATACATTTGAAAGATGATATAAAGCGTTTAATATCTTTTACAAATAAAAGTCAATCATAGATTCTGTGTAATTTGCCAGAATTGTTAAGGTTTGAAATTATTCCAAACATATTTGCAATTATTGTAAAATCAAATGTGATGTCAAACCATACACGTCGGATGAATGCTAGATGAACGCGCTTGTCATCATATAACAACAATTGGATGTGATATTATGATAGTCGACAAAAACAAAGAGGCAAATATCAGATCAGATACTATTTGGAAATCTACTTTATTTCACACTGCACATACATGCACATAATCCACACACTGTCCCTCACAAAGAACAAATTTAAAATTACATTAGTTTTATTTGAATTAAATATATAAATTATAGTATATATTTAAGTTAAAGAAAATGTATTACGTATGAAATGTTAAGATTAAAATAGAAAAATGTGTTATGAAGTACAATATAATATTACGTACGACATAATTTAAATGGTGCAGAACTCAATTTTTGTAAATAAAAAAATAAAATACCTTTCCAACCTATTAATCAAAAGTGAAGCTAATATAATTATTTTAAGCTTTAAAAATTAATTTGTTAAATAAACTAAAATAATTAAAAAAAAAAAATTGTATTTATTTCTGTATCTATCAAAAAATTTAATTTGTTTAAAACAATCTTTCACAATGAAATATTATAANAAAAAAAAAAAAAAAAAAACACATCATAGTAAAACCAATACCTTCTCAGCTTCGCATCGAAGCTAAAATACCTTTCCAACCTATTAATCAAAAGTGAAGCAAAATACAATTATTTTAAGCTTTAAAAATTAATTTGTTAAATAAACTAAAATAATTTAAAAAAAAAATTGTATTTATTTCTGTATCTATCAAAAAATTTAATTTGTTTAAAACAATTTTTCACAATGAAATATTATAATTAATAATATGTTTAATCACACAGTACTATGATATTAAAATTTAAATATTAAATTAATTGAAAAAACTTGTTTACTATAATTTTTTTAAATTATATTTTGAAAATGTGCTGGATATACTCCGAGCTTAAATCGTGTGTTAAAATAAAATTTATGTTATGCACTAGAAGTTCAAAAAAAAATTTTGTCCCGACGACATATTTTCTATGTGTAAATGGCTGCTATAGTTTAAAAAAATGCTATTAAGTAAAACTTTATTTTTTCAACTTTTAATTGCTTTAACTGTTTGAAAAATAAACGAATCAAAATAATTTTTATTTATATTGAATTCTTAGGTATTTTTCTTTAATTTGATATAATTTTTTTTAAATTCTGATCCTTTACCTGTCCACACTAGTGGATTTAAAATAGAAACTTTTTTACGAAAGTCAACTTTTTCAATTTAACTTTTGGAAATATTCCGAAATACTACGTTCTTTAAACATACTTAAAATTAATGTCTATGTTATGTACTATAAAATAAAAACATCTGTCGAAAGTTACTTTGTCACATTGAAATTTATTAAACAATAATAAATTATACAGTAAACACTTAAATAGCGGTCATTTATAAATTTTCAGACATAAACAATGTATTAAATTTCATTTCAAATGTCTTATAAGATCTGAAAAAAAAATATTTTTTTAATAAATTTCATGGTCTTTGTTTATAAAAATTAATTTTATTATAGTAAACGGTAGAGAAATTCACGATGTGTTCCCGGGTGAATATGCATATTAAATGTACTCACCACCCCCTTCAAAATGGATTTCTATTCCTCATGCACCCGTAGTGAGAACATTCATGTCCTAGGCGTTTTTATGTTAGAAATACTTAAGCTTAAGTTAGAATGGAGGCTCAGCTCTCAAAAAACTAAAAAATTATATTACTCTTATTAAATGAACCGTTTTGGGGATGTGATAAATTTGGGGTAGTAAAATATGAATTGCCATTTTATTTGTATAGTTGTTTGTTGATGGCTTATATAAATGATTAATTGTACGAACTAAAAAAATTCTAATTTTAATAGGTTCTGACACTTGTTTTTCTGAAAATATAATATCCTACTCCTATTTGAGTTATAAATCTCAACCCTTTCAAATTTTTCATTTTTAATTAAAATGGCTTAAAATACATTTTTTATTCATAGATGATCCTAGTAAAGGCTAAAACACGACTTTTATGTACGTTAAAAGAATCTAGAAATATATGTAGCGGAGAATATTGATTTATATACTCAGTATTATTCATAATTTAAAAATTACCATCATATTTAACCCAACCATTTTGATCTGTCAATCTTTTTAGAATTCTGTCTTGTATTTCTTTATTTAATTTAAACATTGTAAATGCGTCGCGTACTTTGCTAACAGGAATATATCCATCAATATTTTTAAAACTTTCCAATATTTTAGTTAACCTATCAAGTCTACGATCAAACCAATTCATAAATGATAAAACTAAATTTTCTAATCTTGCTTCCTCATCTCCTAAACG